GGGGGGGGAGCTTCTTAAATTACATATCCACCAGGAGAAATGTGAGATAAGTTGGCCTATCCAAGGCCAGCGGGGAGGTCAAACTTTACAATATGACAGCCTGGATAGGTGCACAGTCCTATGTGAGCATAGTGAACAGGAGGGGGCTCAGCACACAGCCCTGAGGGGAGTCAGTGCTGAGGGTTATGGTGGAGGAGGAGAAGTTGTGGATCCTCACAGTCTGTGGCCTGTTGATTAAGAAATCCAGGATCCAGTTGCATAGGGAGGGGCTTAGTCCTAGTGTGAGCAAGCATGAAATCTTGAAATTTAAGTGAGGTATCAACTTCTATTTTGGTGTGTGGGTATTTGGTAAAATTGACAGTTGAAGAGCCATTTTTGTGTTACTAAGGACAGTTAGCTGTGATGGCCTGCTTGAATTTGGTTTACTCTAAAAAGATAATCAGATACAGAAGAAAATCTAGTGATTACTTTCTGGGAGGTTCAATCAAATTTGTCCACTGGTTCATGAAATATTTTGCACAGACAAATAAACACTTGAAATTACATGATTGCCCTCCATTGTTGATGACAGGCAATAATGTATGATGATGTATGATATTGCTGCATTTATGGTTTTACTTCATGTTTCACAGATTTTTAAATAATAACGTATTATCTTCGTGGGTTTTCTCCGGCTACTCCGGTTTCCTCCCACAGACCAAAAACATGCATGTTAGGCTGATTGATAACTCTAAATTGTCCCTAGGTGTGAGTGAGAGAGTGAATGGTTGTTTGTCTCTATATGTCCATGTGATGAATGACCTGTCCATGGTGTCCATAACCTCTTGCACAGTAACTGCTGGATATGGGCTCCGGTGACCCAGAAAGGAAAAATCAGCTAAAGACAAAGGAATGGTGGATGTACTGTTTTCACTTACTTAAAATGGACAGTTTTAACAAAATGACTGTTGGAGTCACCACAAATTGCTTTTGGAGACAAAAACAAGAAAACAAAAATAGTGTTTAATGACTTTGTTCTATTGCCAGATAAGAGATGTTCACTGATGCCAGATAAATATGTATGTAGGCAGTGTTGGTATTTTGCCTTGCCAGAGTGGGTACATCAACCTCAGGGAAATAGCGACTTTAACTACCAGGTTTAAAAATGGCGTAACTTCTCCTTCTTGTTTCTCCCTCTGTAGGCGTGTCGATGCCGATTCCAGTGATTGGCCTCCACAACGAGGACAAGGTCTTCGTCAATGGCAGCTGTGCGCTCAACGAGGAGCGCTTCATGCTGATTGGTTCCTTTGTGGCCTTCTTCATTCCGCTGGTCATCATGGTGGTGACATACTGCCTCACAATACAGGTCGGGTTCAGCGACTCTGTTTTTGTGCTTTTCTGCTGTTCTTCCCTATACTTGCCTGTCGTTCCCTTCGTCTCCTCTGCAGGTGCTCCAGAGGCAGGCCACAGTCTTCCTGTATGAAGCGAAAACTTCTTCCCAGCAGCGTTTGAGCACACCAGCAATCACAATCACACTGGAGCCTCCAGACTTGCACCTTCCTCAGATCAATACAATCCCACCCTCAGACTCACAAGGTAAACTCTAATCAGGCCTCCAGTTGCTGAAATAATATTCCAAGAGATTTTTATACTCAGACTGAAGTGTAAATACCAAAGTTAGTCATGATTTTATTAACGTGACTCATTTTAGTATTTCATAGCTTTTGAACACTACAGTAGTTCCTCGATTATAGTGGGGGTTATGTTCTACGTACCACTGCGATAGGTGAAAAACCATAAAGTAGAAACACTGTATTTATTTTAGTATTTATATATATTTTAAGGCTTTATAAACCCTCCACACACTCTTGAATTGTTCTAAACTAGGATTGTAACGGTACGCTAAAATTACATTTCGGTTCGGTTCAGTTTCAAGGAGGGCTCAGTTCGGTTAATTTTTGGTACAAAAAAGGCCAAAATAAAGACTTACAAAACGTTTAGTTCGAAAATATGCCAAGTAAACAATATGTTTGTATAAAAATAAATAAAAACGATAAATTTGGATGATATTTTAAATAAAAGGCACTCTTTACAATAAATAAACTATACTAACAATAATAAAAATCTTAATAAATGCAATACCAGTCAGAACCAGAACAATAAGCAGCAACAGACTGTTTACAATCTAACTAATCAAGTTTTAAGTTTTTGACCAAAAAGACCAACTTGTCCACATTTTTTGCCAAAAGCACAGATCTAGTTGCAGTGAATATCTCCAGCGGTGGAGAAAACAGTTCACTAACAACAGTAGCAGGAATAAAGAGGTAGAGCTTTGATCATTTTGCAGCGTAACTGTATTTGGCCTCATTACTCACAACCTCCTGGACCTGCTCCCACAGAAGGGACAGGTCCCTGGAAAAGGTCAGAGTTCACTCATCACAGACTTCTGAGCTGGAGGTGATCTCTGGGGGATTTCCCTGAAGAGGAAGAAGACTCAGCTGCTATCTCTGTCACAGACTGAAAATAAAACACAAAGAAGTAAAAAAAATGAGTTAATAAGATTATAATCTTAAATTTAAAAAAAGTTAATTAGATAATAATAATACAAAGTAATAAAATAACACCGCTTCTTGAACAGTCATCATTTTAGCTATGAGGTGGTTGAATATCTCGCTCATCATCATCAGGGCAGGACTTTAATCTGGTCCAGGGCTTGTTGACAATATCAGTTTTAGCTTTTTCATAAAGTGCTGCTACAACGTTTTGGCTGAAGTGTTGACGTGATGCGATGTCATAGCGGGGCTCAATAACTTTAAAGTCGGTGCATCAACAACAAAAATGCAGATCCAGAGCTTTAAAAACTCCTACAGCTTGTGTTATTGCTCTGGACCGATCTGAATTACCTGATAAAGGTTGTTTAAATGCTGCTGTTATCGGTCTTTGAACCAACTGTAGAAGAGACGTTCACATTCGGATGATGTTGTTTCAAGCGCGTTAACAAGTTAAGACGTGTTGCTGCTGCAGATCCAATCTCTGTGTAACAACATCGACACACAGCTTTGGATTTGCACTTGTCTTTTAACAAGAAAGCCATAATGTTCCCAAACAGAAGACCGCAACGAGATGCTAGAATGCTAATGCTACGCATGCTGCAAGATAATAGTGCCGTGCTGAAACACGCTTAGGAACTTTAGTTCCGCGGTGCATAATCTCTCGTTAATAAAATTTATTGAGTGAAAAAATAACCGAAACGGTACACACGCGGACTGAACCGAACACGCCGTACCAAAACGGTTCAATACACCCACGTGTACCGTTACACCCCTATTCTAAACTCTTAAACTTATGTAATTTTAACAACATATGTATATGTAATATACAGTACTGCAAACTTTTACTCACCAGCTCTGCAGACCAGCAGCTCAGTTCTGGTCGGGCTCAGTTCTGGTTCAGCAGACCTACCCTGTAGGGGTTTAGCCCACTGCCCAGTCCAGGTTGATGTGCGCGTGGATAATTGAGCTTCAGGAAGCTTCAGAATTATTTGCAACTTTCCTGTCAGTTCTGTCAATTTAACTGATAGCGTAGATTTGTGTTGCAAACTTTCCCTCCATTTTGGCAGAAATAAGAGGCTGAAAACACTGTTGGCTTCTGGGTAGTGTAGTTCTTTAGACTTGTATTACAGTATAGGCTTACTGAAAGAAAACTACAAAATGTCGGCACCTATACAAAGGTTTTTTTTTGTTTGTTTGTTTTTATCCCAGGGATGTCAAACTCTCATACAAAAGTGGGCCAAAAGTATAACCTTTTTCAAACTAAGGGCCGGTTTCAGAATCTACATTAACTCGAGTTAGATACCCAACATCTTTTCTTGGTTGCAAGTTCCTCAACAATCGTTTGATTGGTCTCATATGATGTTTTCTGTTGCACTTTTGATGTCATAATCAAAGATTACTGAAAAAATTAAAGTCATAAAAGTATTTTACATTTAAAATAACATCTTGAGGGCCAGATAAGATATCAACAAGGGCCACATTTGGCCTCCAGGCCTTGAGTCTGACACATGTTTTATCCCATATGTCTCAATCACATGAGTAATAGAAAAGTTGACAGTCGCTGAAAAATCGCGAAAGAGTTAGTCCGCAAAAGTCGAACCGCGAATTAGTGAAGGCCTACTGTACTCCACTTTTTTAACAGTTGTTTTCTCCTGCATTTGCTCCTCCCACAAACTGTATTTTTGATGAGGAGAACCCATGTATCAAGAAATGGTTTTCAAGAAACTTTGGTTCTTTTGTACCCGTGTAGACAGCAGAAACAGAGCCTTTTAGAAATGAGGTCACAGACTGTTTTGCACTTGTGCTCAAGAATTACAAACAACTACTGAGCTGTTTTCACCGGTTTTTATGTCTCTTTCTTGCATTGTCCTGATCCTGTCGCCACTGAACATTTATTGTGTGCTGAAATTGGCAATAACTAAGAAAAGATTGTAAAATATAGAAAAAATCAAGTTAAGGGAGAGTCTTTAGCCAGATAAGAATATAATTTCTCTGAATTTGTGTTTTTTTAATGTTGACATTCTAGTCATCATTACTAGAATAGAATTAAACTTACTGCCTCTCATCTTGCTAACAGCACTATCCCCACAGTAAAGCACGGTGGTGGCAGTATCATGCTGTGGGGATGTAATGTTTATTATATATCAGCAGGAAGTAGGAAACTACTCAGCATCAAAATGAAGATGGACAACTCAAAATTTAGAGGAATGCTTGAGCAGAACTTGTTGCGAGTCTTCCAGAGTGTGAGGGACCAGACTTAAATAATGACAAAGATGTTAAAAAATCAGCAAAAATTTCAGTTTAATAATTCCAAAATAGTTAAAGATTCAAATCTCAATGAAAAAATAAACCAAAAGATAAATATCAAATTTGGGCCCAACTTAAATGAGGTCAACTGAGCACTAACCAAACTGACCTGTTAAACAAAGAGCAAAGGGCTGCTTAAATAGGAGTGGAGTAATCCAAATCTGCCACATGAGGGAGGCACAACAACATAATAAAGGGACAAAAAATACAAAATTAGCTAAAACAGCATCTGAAACAAATAAAGCAAAACTAACTAACTTAGCACAAATAAGTAAACACTAAAGTGACAAATTAACCAACTAAAGCCAAATTTAACAAATAGAAGTTCCCCCTTCCCTCAGTCTTTGAGAAAAAGTGGTATGTTCCAGGCTTCCTCCTCCAGCTGATCTGCATTTGCAGCACCTCAAAACAAAAGAACAAGTGTTAGTAAACCATTCAGATAAATATTAACTAAAGTGTGTACCCATCAGAACATACATGTCTAAAATACCTTAAACTTATACATAATGTAATTTGTAACTAATAATGTAAATTAAATAAATACTAACACGATGTGGTGGTGGTAGAAGCATCCACCACACAGAGCTTAGATACTGAGGTGGAGGTTTACTTTCCAGCAGATCAGTGAACCTCCACTAGTTTTAGAACCAGACGAACCAAATAAATGTCCTGGGCCTGATCGGGTTCTGTTTTTATTTGTTTTGTTTGTTTGTTTTTTTTGGTCTAATTTCCTGCATTTTATCATAAAGTAGTAGTCATGTTGTAAAACCAAAATGTTGCAATCTCCCAAAGCCCTAGATTTTTGAATAATAATAAATAAATATAAATCAGTTTATTTAAATATCACCAAGTCACAACAGAAGTCATCTCAGGGCACTGAACTAAAAACATTCATATACATTAAAAGTAAGTTAACATTATTTATCTGAGGAGCCGATAAAGCAGAGCAGTCTTAACTTCGTCACAGACTCTCATCTTGAGCATGAAGGCAACAATGGAAAGGAAAAACTCCCTCATGAGGAAGAAACCTTGAGCAGAACCAGGCTCAGGACAAGCAGCCATCTGCTTCAACTGGAACAGGAGAGGAACAGGAAGGAGGAACAGATACACAATGGCAGGTCAAGAATCATATGTTAAAATAGAAATAGTATCAAATGAAAATGATTCAATTTTAACTATTAATTTTAGGAAATTAGGTTAATTTGTCCTTTAGTAATGTAAGCCTAAAGCAGCATAACAAGCAAACCCTAACTATAGGATTTATCAAAAAGGGAAGTCTTAATCCCAGTCTTAAAACTGGACAATGTGTCAGCCTCACGGACAGAAACTGGAAGTTGGTTCAACAAGAGAGGAGCCTGATAACTGAAAGATCTTCCTCCCATTTTGCTCTTGGAAACTCTAGGAACTGCATGTAAGCCTGCAGTCTGAGAGTGAAGTGCTCTGTTAGGAAAACATGGTACAATAAGAGCTGTAATATAAGATGGAGCTAGGTTGTTGAGAGCTTTGTAGGTTAGAAGTCAAATTTTGAATTCAATTCTGAATTCGACAGGGAGGCAACAGTACATGATTTTCCACAATAATGTAATGTGTTTTAATAGTATCTTGACTATGAGGTTGTATTCCTTTTCCCACAAGCATGTACCTTAACAAACCTTCAACTTGTCTCTCGTTACCCCCCTGTGTGCAGAGTTAAAGCCCCCACCCCTCCAGAGCAGGCGAAACACCCTGAGCTGCCTGAAAGGCGCAGAGCAGAGCCTGCTCAGCACCTCCACCTCAGACAGCATCAGCATCATTCCCAGCTCCGAGGCCGCATCGCAGCTCAGCTCTCCAGCTGTGGGGCCAGGGCGGAGCGATGCCTCAGGTTGCCACGGGAGACGGGGGATGATGCAGGCCATAAAGAATGAGAGGCGGGCCTCGAAGGTGAGATTAAAAATTGATGCGAAGCCAGAGTGTTAGCGGACGATTTCATACGCAAGACATGTTTGAAAACGACATCAAACAAAAATCACTATGTTTATGCAGATGTGAAGTGATTTTTAAAGTTGTGTTTCAGCTCGAGCTTTTTCTGTGACTATGAGGTTTATATCATGTGAGAGGATGTTAGTGCCGGTCTCTCACTCGGCTACAACTAGCTGGAGCAATGAAATTGGTAGAAATTACACAAACATTTACATAATGAAGAGTTACGTTTGATTTTTTTTTTAGGTGTCAACATACACAAATACATATAAATTATGACGTTTGTTCAACAGTCTGGGATAAACATGCACTTTTTTCAGCCATAATTTAGCCGCATCGTATCCTCATCATGTTTCAATATGTCCACAAGTTATTACCTTTTTGTTTTAGTAAGTCATAAGTCACCAGCCCGAGCCTATTTTAAGGATGCACAAAAAGCAAATCTTTCTATGTACTTTTTTTTATTATTTCTCTTTAACAGAGTGTAAGTTTGGAAAATATAAATACGTTATTGCTAAAATCCAGGATTTTAATTAAGGAATGCTAAACTGAGTGAACTCATCATGGTTTAAAAAAAGATACAAGAAAGACATTCATCACACATTTACTGCACTGTGCACCACGTCAAACCAGCTGAGGTGAGTTCTCGTCCACGCCTCACTTTGTTTCTGAAAGTTCATGTTACTGTAGGAGGACAGGTGTTTTACCAAAAAGTGATAAGATGCCAAAAAGTGTCCGGTCAATGCAGGAGCGCGCGCAGCCCGTTTGAATCCCTCACAATTTCTGCTGCTTTAGTTCTTTAAATGAAACAACATTAACACCAATATATATATATTTGTATGTTCAAAATAATACAGAAGGTGTGTCTTGGTTTAACGTTATCTGTTTACAAAAACTCATTACGTTCTCTCCAGGAAATTATCAAGTTTCTCGTGTTTTGTAGTTTGTTGTGAATATCTGCACATTTTAATATTGTATCAACATTAACAGGGTTTCTGCAATTTCAATGAGCTCAGCTCGCTTATATTTGGAACCAGATTGTGATGCTACAGTACTGTGATAAATACTGTGCACTTAATGATGAAATATGAAATATATGTTGTGATTGTGCATTCATTATTTTGATTTTGTTTGTATGGTTAGCATGTATTACTACCAGTCATGTGGTTATTTAATTTTCAGGCTCTTTTAGACACACAAATATCCATAAACTGTTATTTTCAAACACAATGCCCTCATAATGTGTTGCCTTTACAAAAACATGTTGAGTGTGCTTTGCACAGCATGAAATAACTTAAAATAGCCAGGATTGTTTGCCAGAATGATAACCACTGATTTAAAAACACTTTTTTTACTGAAAGGAATTAGATTTTAAAGATTTCAGTTCATGTAATGAATACTTGAATATTTCACGCAGTAGTATTTTCATTAGCAGCCCGGGGAGGGCTGACAATTTCATTGTGCAAAGGGAGGACCAATAAAAACAGTGTGAGAACTACTGGCCAAACCATCCATCCATCCATTATCTTTACCCGCTTGTTCCACTTTGGGTCACAGGGGTCACCGGTGCCCATGTCCAACAATCACTGTGCGAGGGGCGGGGTACACCCTGGACAGGTCACAAGTCCATCACAGGGACACATAGAGACAAACAACCATTCACTCTCTCACTCACACCTAGGGACAATTTAGAGTTACCAATCAGCCTAACATGCATGTTTTTGGACTGTGGGAGGAAACTGGAGCACCTGGAGAAAACCCACGCATGCACGGAGAGAACATGCAAACTCCACCCAGAAAGGCCCCTGGACCAGGGTTTGAACCAAGGACCTGCTCGCTGAGAGGCAGCAGCTCTACCAGCTGAGAGGCAGCAGCTCTACCAGCTGCGCCACCGTGCTGCCCTACTGGCCAAAGCAAACTGCAAAATTAATTAAATTAAATTAAAAAACTGTGCGCAACAATGTGAGACGTACCTCAATTTGCAAGCAAGCTAGTAAATCTAAAAAAAAAACATCACTTTTAGTAACAACAAACCTCAAAGTTGTTTTTTCTTTGTCTTTTTAGTCTGTATCAGCCGCTGAGCATATTGGAATAATCGCTTCGTTAGCACAAGGATACGTTGGATTTTCTGACGCAGTTGTTTCCTTGTAGCACATTTCAAATGTCTCTTCCAACATATTCAGAGCAGCTCATTCCTGTTGTTATCAAAGTCAAGCAGACGCGTTGAGGAACGTCAGAAATCTTGGAGTGCTGCCAGAGTCCTCGAAGGAGACGAGCAGTGCTTCAACAAAATTCACATTCCGGTACTTTAATAATGATGACAAACAATATATATATATATATATATATATATATATATATATATATATATATATATATATATATATCGATGAGGCGTGCTGCCCAGAGACGCCACGTGATATGCAGTGACTGGGGAGGGATCGAACCTGGGGTGCTGCCAGAGTCCTCGAAGGAGACGAGCAGTGCTTCAACAAAATT